TGCAAAATAGAGGGGCTCCCCAAAAACCAAACTGCAAACCCCATTAATTTACAACAAACGCATTCAACGTAAAGTTTAGCCTCGACTTTTGGCCATTTCGGTCATTCAATGGCGTGCAACAGTGTTGCAAGTGTGGCAAACTTTTGTGGCAGCACACGCACACATATGTATGCTGTGGCCAGATAGGATATCTGCACCAGCTACATTGTTGAGTAGGCAAAAGTTTTGAATTTAACTTTTGCTTGTTTCATTCAAGTGGCGGCAACAACAACAACAACAACAACAACAACAACAACAGCAGCAACAGCGGCTGAAATGTTGAACAAAAACTTTATGCCAAAAGCCACAACAAACGCAACGGGAAACTGTTGCTGTTGCAGTGGGCGTGACAGTGGAAGTGGCAGTGGGAGTGGCAGTTGCAGTTGCAATTGTTTGCTTTCTGCTCAGTTGTGTTATTATTGTTTTGTGGTTTTTGGCATTGAGTAGCTGCTGAGCTGACAACTTTGATTCCCAGTTGCAATGCACAATGCATTCTGATAAAATACAATTTTTGTTTGTTTTAATTAATTCTGTATTATTTTTTTACATTTTTTTAATTTGTATTTTTATTTTCAGCCAGAAACGTGTTTGGCATTTTGTGTCTGTTTAACGTCTTAACTGCAGCTCCTGCGTCCTCTCTCTCTCTCCCTCTCTCTCTGTCTCTCTCCCTCTCCCCATGGCGTTTGCAGCTTCAGCTAGCTTTGGGGAATATCTTTACTTGCATTTGTTTATATTAATTTTGTTTTTTTCTCTATCTTCGTTTTCTTTTCTTCTCTCTTTTCTGTTATTTGCTGTGCACTGTAATTAGCCACGCCCTCCGACTAGTCCCTGGACAAGACAGCTGGCGTCTGCTCTGCGTCTGCCGTCTCCTGTCTCTGCTTGTTGGCCAAAATTGCTGTGCATAAAGAGTTTAAGTTGACATTTTTAGCAACAGTTTGTAATTTGGCCGTCGCGTAACCCTTTTGCCCCGATATTTGCTAATTTTTTGCTTACTTTTCCTTGCTTACATTTTACTTGCAGACTTCAGACTGCGGACTTAATTGCATTTGCCAAAAGGCGCGCCCGCTGCTGTTTTGCATTTAGATTTCATTGTTTGACAGCAGCTGAAAGGTAAGTGAGAATTTAAGAATTTAAGTTTTTAATTCATTTCGTAAACTTGGCTTCTTTTAATGCACTTGTCAATTAAAAAATCATAAAAAATACATTTATTTATTTATACAAATTATGCATAAATGTTTATGGCGCAGCTGCACTTTTATGGCTGGCTTTCAAATTAAGTCGCTCCGGCTAAAAGCCTGCTTCATATTTTACGATCTTTGGACATTTTATGCGCAAGGCCTAACCCTTCGCCCTTAAGGGCGGGGCGCTTTTTGGCACCCGCCATAACTTAATTATCCATATGAATCCTTCAGTTTTATTGCCGGCTAAGGCGGCAGCGGGTCAGCCCTTTTAATTATGATGAGTACTCTGTTGAGCACTCTGCTCCTCCTCACTCTCTCCCTCTCTCTCCTCTTCTCTTTATCTTTGCATCTGTCATATTTTTATTTATCTAAAGTGGCAAATCTTCACGGGGCCTGCTCATTAAAATGACATCAAATCGAGCCTGCCAAATGTTTTATTGTTGTTGCTGTCGTTTTTCCACATTTTCAACATTTTCCACATTTTCCACTTTCCCAGTTTTATGTCCAGCAGCTGTACATCAACATGAATTTATGGTTTGGACCGTTAATTTCATAAGCCCGTGGGCCATGCTCCAACTGCTCTACAAAATTTTAAACACTTTTGATTAAGACGCACATGCAGCCAAAAAAGGCTTTTGTCTTTGCGGTTGGCTGCTTGGCTCGGAATCGTCGTTGTCATTGTTGTGCGGTGGCGCCCGGGCGGACTGCCACACATGCAACGCATTGCTGCGGTTGCATTTGTAGGCGGGGCGTGGGCGGCTCTTTGAAGTAAGCAGCAGAGATATTGCCTTAAGGCTAAGCCTCATTTGTGGTCAAATTGTGTGCTGTGCGTCAGCCTAAAGTCGATTGTGTCAATATTGTGCCATGGCTAATGGCTAATGGCTAATGGGTAATGGGCAATGGGTAATGGGTAATGTTTGCGATAAGGATTTACGTAAGTTGCGGCCGGCTGCCAGCGTTCGATTACCTCGGCTCATATGCTAATTAGCGCCTGCCGATTAAACTTAAAGCGCTGCGGGGCCTTGCGATTTGATGGCATTTAATAGCGAGCTACAGAGCCCATATGGCAAACTTTTGCCAATAACAATGCGAGGCCATAAACTAGCTGTAAAAACACATAAAAATCATAGCATACATTTAGGAGTCGAATTACAAGTGCCACGGCGCAAAGGGGTTGCTGCCGAGTGGCATTAAAAGGAGTAGCTGCGTTTGCACATTAAAAACCCATAAAAATCGAGAATTGAATTGCCAAACAACAATACATAAAGTGGCCCTGAAGATAATACAATAAAAAATAAAAAATAAACAAGGGCAAATCTAAAAGTAAAATTGACGAAAAACCAATTGAAACAATCGATTAAAATCGATCAATGAAATTGAATCACGTGTTACAATTTCCTTAAAGCAATTCAGATTCAGTTACAATCTGTGGAGCATCTAAAGCCTCCCTCAAGATGGTAGACAAATAAAATGTGGCATTACCTTGAAAGGAATTTCGTAGCAGTTTGAGCTATAGAAATTATTTGCTGCTTATATATTTGTCTATAGTTAGTATAAAATATAAATTAAATTGAATTATTATAAATTATATATGAATAGTAAGTATAGTATAGTATAATGTAAAAATAATAATATTATAAATTTTATATAAATAGTTAAATCTTATACAAATTATTTATATAGTAAAATAATAATAAATAAAATATATAATACACAATTAATTAATAATATATAAATAATTTAAAATTATCGTCTCAAATATTTGCAATATAGAAAAAGATATATATGTAGAAATAAATATATAAATATGAATAATAATTAAAAAAATTAAATTTAAAATTATATTGAAAAGTCTCTGATTGCTTTTGAAAATCAGAGCTCACATCCAAAATAATCTCTCAATTCGATAGACCCAGTTCTAGGCATTCAGAAGTGTTTGACTAGAAGATTTACTGATGGCAGGAATAATGGTTTAAGGTATCCAAAATGTGAAGTAGTAATAGTATTATTTTGTATATAATTTATGTGAAATCTTTAAACGATTTAGATGAATTCTGCCATATCCGATGATCAAGACATATCCAAGAAAGTGGTACAAAATAGACATTAGTCTTGCTAATTTAATTATTAAAATTAAAAAAAAAAAAAAAACACACAATTTAAAAATCCAAACTTTAATTGTAAACACTGGAATCTTTTGAGAGAGTAAGCAGTAGAAATAGACTAATTTTATTTATTTCTTAACTGCAAATTGACAGATATCCTAATAATTCAATATAATCTAACGCTAGCAAGTAATTTTCTCCAACTGACTGACAATTGACTTGGGTAAAAGCTCAGCTCATTGGCTGCTATTGATGTCTTGATGCATTTGTAGTCTTCATTGTAGTTGGAGAAGCGCTGCTCAGCCAGGACATGTTAGAATGTTATCTATTCAAGCAGCCTGCTCAGATTTTACGCATTAGTCTTATTCATTTGTTGTTTAGAACTAATCAACAGCATTCGGTTTATGCATTTATAGAACACGCTCGATTGCCTTGCCTTAACATTCCTTATCTATTTTTACTATGCACCGACTGTAATCAATTTTTATGCAAGCGAATTCATATTTCGTTTAGAGTCTTGAACTCTTTCGGCAACGCATCAATTGTCGCTCGTCTTGCTGGCAAGTTCAGTGCTCTCTGTTAACCCCCCTCTGTTAGCACACAGGTCACACACAGCCCCCGCCGCCGTCCGTTACACGCTTACCCCTTGACATTCCGGGCTATCAGTTGGCAGAAGCGAAAACTTTTATGCGCTTGTTAACAAAAGCGTGAAATTCAATGCGGAAGAACGCAAATTTACGACACTGCAAATTAAACTTGATTTTTATTTAAATAAATTGCATTTTATGCGCTCGGCTAGGATATGCGATGCCGTCGCCTCGTCGTCGAGTCGTAGAGTCGTAATAATAAGCAGGCAACGGCCATAATTTGCACCGGAATATGACGGCAGGATATGTGGCAGTGGGTTTTGTTGGCTCGTGTTTGGGCGACGGGCTGGCTGCTTTATGTATTTTTATTTATTACACGCAGCATTGCCAGGAAATGTTTGTTGATTTTCCGCAGTGCGCGCACAATAAAAATCGGGGCACAGAAAAAAAAGCGAATTATTTTCTAGACGAACGCGCGTCGCTCGAATATAAAAAAAAACCCAGAAATTCTACAAATTGTACAGAGTTTTATTGTAGAGTGTTTTGAGGGTATTGTGAGTGTGTGATGGAATTTGCAAGCTATTGGGGACTGTATATGGGATCTAATATATACATATATATTTGTAAATTAATTATATATATTTTATATGGTGTATATAGATGTCATTGGAAAATAAAAGTGGGAAGTTATAAGAGAAAAATACTATTTTTTCACTGATTATTTTAAAGTGCAGTATATGTAGTATATAAAAATCATATTGTTTTTTTTTTTTATTATTTATATTATGTATTATGTAAAGCGCAATATAATATTTTGGATTTGAAAGATCTTTTACAAGACAAAATACTTCGCCTACCTTATTTATTTATATTATATTCTGTATATATTTTATTTCTCATATCATATTATATATTTTATTTCTCATATTATATTTTAAACAATATTTAATATTTTATATATTTTTTTAAATTAAAAAATATGAAAAAATTTTATATATTATAATTTACATTTCATAGTTTATAAATCATACATTTCATTTCAAAATATTTTATTTGTTTTATTATAATATTTTTATTTTTATTTTATTTTATGTAACTGCTATTTTCGTACAATTTTAGATGTTTCATTAACTTGAATGAATTACATGGAAACTTACGAGCAAAAGCCCGTCACCCTTGTTTTTAATGCATATAATGAGTATATACGAGGAACCTCATATTGATAAGGGAAAATGTAAAAAAAATGATCTAAGAGACTTTTTTTGTTATCTAAAACTACCTTTAAATATTAAACATATACAAAATGATTATTCTCAGCAAGAGCATGCAATTTTCGTTCTGTAACTCATCACTCTTACAATTATTGCCAGTTTCTTTTATTTATTTATTTTTTTTTTATACAACCTCGTCGCCGCCGTCATTAAAAACGGAAATGTGATGCGTAATTTGTGCGCCGCGAAGTATGCAATACAGAAATTTTGAATGGAGCCAGGCGAAACGAATTGATAAGGGCTTAACAAAAGGTTCAATGGCTAACGCAGATGTATTCCGGTCTGAGCCTCAAGAGCTGTTGAGCTGTTACCAGCTCTGGTAGCTGGGCAATCGCAATTGCAATCTCTTGAAAATATTGCATAAAGAAATCCTTTCACAGTTCACTTAACAGCTCGTATCTTGCAGTAGTAGGGATCTTTGGTATGCAGTGTCATGACGAAGATGAGGCGCGCCTTCTCCTGCCGCTCGCCCAAGGGCTCGAAATAGAAACTCCTGAGGAGGTGAGCCAGCACCAGCTTCAGCAGGACTATGGCATAGCGCTGGCCCAGGCAGCAGCGCGGACCCGTCATGAAGGGTATGTAGGTGGAGGGTTCGATCTTGGGCTGGGCATCGCGGGCCCAGCGCTGCGGCCTGAAGACCAGCGGCTCGGGAAAGAATTCCTCGCAGCGGCCCATATACATCGGCGAGATGATCACATCGCTGCCCTTGGGTATGAAGAAGTTATCTGAAAGAGGTTGAAGTATAGCCAAGCTAATCTAGATATTGCAGTAGAATTCGCTCACTAATTGTGCAATTGGCTGTGGCTCGGCGCGCTGTGATGGGCGCCGAGGGATACATGCGCAGCGTCTCCTTGATGCACATGCCCAGATAGACCAATTCTCGCATCTGCTCCATCGTTATGGGTGTGGCTGCATCTCGCCCACACACCCGCCAGATCTCCTCGCGGCACTGCTGCTGATACTCCACATGCAGCGTCATGTTGTACATGAAGAACTTGAGCATGGCTGCGACCAAGTCGAAGCCACCAAAGATAATGGTGTCCACCTCCTCGCGTATGTCCCTCTCCTTCAGCGGCTGGCCGTCTGCGTCTCGGGCCAGCAGCAAGTTATCCAGCAAGCTGCGTGTTTTCTGCTCACTGGACTCGGCGTCGGACGTGGCTTCGCTATTGCCATTGGCCAGATCCGAAGCGAGCTGAGCCAAACGCTTTCTGATAATGCCCTTCGTGAAGCCGTGGAGGATCTTCAGAAGTTGCCTCTCGCGTGCTGCGAGCGGCGTGAAGTAATAGATGAGTGGGTAGCGATAGAGCAGACTCTTCAGCCTGGTGTCAAATACGTGAAAGATCCTGTAAAGCGAAGCAACTGAAGTGACTGATGTCCATGTGATCTCTTCTATATAGCCTACTCACTCTCTGACTGCATCCAAGTACTCCGACTTCTCGCCCGACTGCGAGTTGACTGTGGTGCCCAGCGCCGTTTCGCAGATGGTGTCCAGCGTGTAGCAGCTGACGAGCTGAAAGAAATCCACGGGCTGATCGGTGTCGGCCAGTGTGGCCAGCCTCTGCAGCAGGATGCGCGCCTGTCGCTCGAAGACCTGCACAAACTGCTTAATCATGCTGTAGTTGAAGGTCGGCGCAACCATCTTCCGGCGATGCATCCATTTGTCCACAGCGCAGGTGAAGACGCCCTCGCACAGCCAATTCTCGAAGACGCGATAGTCCGAGGTCTTCTGCAGCAGCTGCTTGGCGGTGCAGAGTGCATGAATATCCTTGGGATTGCAGTCGAATATGTAAAGCTTGTTGCCCAGCCACAGCTTGCCCCGGTGATCCTGCAGATGGCAGTTGATCAGCTCCGCGGCGCGCTTAAAGGGACGCGGCCCAATGATTCTCGCAAAGATGTGCAAATGTCCGAGGATGGGCAACGAGGGCGGGGCCGGCCAGCTGCTGGTCAGTCGATTGATGCGCGCCTGGTAGCAAATCGAATATACGAGATAGGCCAGCACTACACCCAAGAGTAGCAGCCACATCGAAACCGGGACCAACATACCGCTCCGAGATCTTAGATGCAACTGTCTAAAATTGGCATTGCATTTCGGATTTTAAATAAGTCACAGTCACAGCTTCTTGACAAAAACTCTATTATATATCGTAAATATGGTTGTAAATTTGTTGGCAACAAAAAATGCAGTAATGAACAGATCACAGATCACAGATCATAGAGTTGCGAGCAAGGTTTCAGGTATATGTATATATACAAATCGATCGATTAGTCAACGTCTGGATCCGAAGCAGATGTGACTCTTTTTACTCGGTTGTCAATGCTTAAGTACCCCGTCTTGATTGCTCGCTGATCATTTGTTTGGTATTCTGACAGATGTAAACAAATGCTAAAATGACATTGCGAAGGGCGGGCTTGCCTGCAGAGATACCCTGGAATGTAAATGAACTGAATAAGACAGGAGTTGCCAGCTGCGAATAATGATTGAGCTGAAATCAATTTTTTTTTATAGAATCAATTCGAAATACCTCAAGTACTTCAGTTACTTCTGTTTCATATAACATACTTCTCTTATTATTTCGATTATACAGGGTATATTGCCATTAATTTGCATTGAGGATAAACAACAAAGTGCTTAGATTGAGCTCCACTCACTTGGCAAATAAATAAGTTCAATATTGTTATTGCGAAATTATAAATTTGATGAGCGATCACGTCCCACGCATACAAATTCTAGCCCATGCGAGCAAAATTGACAAACGGTCCACTAGATGCGCAAACATCGATCGTTGATCGGAAACACCCAGAGAGCTATGGAGGGCATCAGTTGGGTGATTTACAGCACTCAGCAAGTTTGCTAATTATTTTCAAATATTGAATTTAATATACATTTCATTATTTTGCGAACGTGTCACAAAATTTTTATTTGCACAGCAATTGGAATGTGATAATCTGTATAGATATGGTATAATATGAGGGGCTTTTAATAATTATGTATATCATTAATGATAATCTGATAATCATAATGATAATTTACCCAAGTAAGGGTAATTTCTAGTCGTTCTAAATTAAAAATATTAAAGCACTATCGCACTTTGATCTAAAATTTGACAGACAGGTGTTGTTTTTGCGCATTCCTTTTCTCATGTATTTGCTCAGGTCAATCGTCTTTTTATACCAGACTCTTAATTGTCAATCTACTAGAAACTGGAAACTGGCGATATATATTTGATGTACTTGCGGGAGAACTCTAATAAATATAAAGAAATAATAATGGAGCACAAGGGTAGCTTGCCAAGTGTGTGAATAGATGTTATTTTAATTAAAAATTGTTATACTTGTTCACAACGTGAAAAGAAAAGAGTATATTGGTTTTGTGGAATGTGCGACTTGGTGTTCAGGTAGCCTCGTCTGATAAAGGATTCAGATTTTATAGATTTGCATACATATTAAATTAGTCAGAACAAAAACTCTATTATTTAAAGCTTAGTAGCTTTGTTAAAATATGATAAAATAGGATAGATAAACTAAATAAAAATAAAGCAATATCATAAATTAATATATAAATTACTTAAGCAGAGCTGTGTTTTAGTCTTAGACCCCGAACAATGCAATTTGGCAGTAAAAATATTACAGAACACACTCTCACATTTAAGAACAAGGATTCATTTATTTTTGTACCGTGAACGAGTATTAAGCGGTCGATAGTGCCCGACTGCAACATTCTAAAACTTTTCATTTACTTTAAAAATTTTGTTCTTTTTTCATTTTAACATTCGGCTCACAGTTTCAGCAATAATCTTAATTAAATATTTGTTTTTGGTGTTTGTTATTGTAATTATTATTAATTGGACTTCAAACAACGTATTGCTTAGTCAGTTATAGCCAACTGTAAAAGTTGCTAACTGTTGCTAATAAGATGGTTACACTTTATAATCTTTGACTTTAGAATCTATAATTATATTAATTAATATGCATATTTAAGTCAAAGTTCAAGCTGGAAAAAACAGTGAAATAAAATATGCAATGGAAGTTTATTTTATTTTTATAAAAAAAAAATAAATTAATAAAAAAAATAGTTGTGTCTCATTAAAGGATTTGCAAGGATTTTCAATGCAATTTTTTTATTTCTGTCAAATTAATTAATAAATGAAGTATATGCCATTTATATTTGCACATTTTTTAATAAACATGCGGAAAAAAAATGGAAATGCTCTTGATTTACAATGGAAAACGTAGCAGACGGCTTGCCTTTTTATTTGATATTGAATTGAAACAAGTGGACGTTGAATGTTGACTGAGAGGAAATATAAAAATATATATATATAAATATATATATAGTATTACGAATTTATGAATACACACACACACACACACCCACTCGCTCTGGTATCTATGATATGATATCGTGCAATCCACACAAAAGCACATTAATTACAATTATTCATGTTTATTTGTGCGCAGCAACTTTTCTGTGTTAATTAGTGTAAATACACAGTCCTGTTCACATTTTATTTATTTTTTTGTGCATCCCAGCTCTTAGACTGCATTGATATGCAAAATGAATTGAATGACAGTTGCACAGCCATATCAGACTCGCTATTGCATATATGTATGTATAAAATATTAAATATGGTTAGTCTTAGGCATAAGCCAGATAATTTGCTCATGTTCGTGACAAAGGCAGGATGACTTTGTCAGCGAGTGGGAAGTCCAGCAAATGTTTGACATAAATTCCATTATCTAATGGATGCCAATAAACAGCGCAGACAAATAAACACCCAAACACAGGCACACATAAGCACACACACACACACACACACACACACACTCGTGCACAATCAGGGACAATCAGATGTAGATACAGTTGTGCACCTGACAGGACCAAAAGGCACATTGTCTCACATTTAAAATTAAAAGTGATGCGAATCTGGCAGGGGAAATACTCAGGGACGAACCCTGAGAAGGGCGAAACAATGTCGCAAACTAATTTGAATTTATGCAAAGATGTCGAGCTGCCTATTATAAGGCCTAATAGGTTTGATAGAAGGAGCCAATTGGCTATGAGATGGAATTTGTCATGAGCAAAATATAATGAATAAGAGATAGAAACCAGCCAAAGAAAGGCTGATATTATATCTGATATATTTTATTTATTTATATTAAAGTCTGAAATATATACACATATGCATATATATTATTTTATATTTTTATATTTTCTGCTATTATTATATTTTAAAAAAAATGTAAGTTGGTTGACTTAAGATAAGGTAGGATTAAATAAGTATAAATGAAATAAATTAATATGCATTAAAGTTACAAAAATTAAATGATTGGATTTAATAGATAAACTTTAATTAATGAATAAATATATTTAATAAATTAATAAACATATAAAAAATGCTTAAAAGTAAATCAGTGATTTTATTACTAAATAAAATAAAATAATAAATAAATAATTATCATATATTTTATTTAAAATCTAAGTTTGATTTATATTCTGCTTTATTATTTCTTGATCTATACTTTGTATTATTAAAGTCTAATTATTAATGACTTACACATATTTCATGGGATCACTAGGGCATTTCCAGTTCGTCATTTAGCAATTGGCATTCCCAGCTTGTTATTATTGTTGTCTGTGTGCATGTAGAGCTCTGTAATTAAACTGCACATTATCAGGAACGCCACACACACACACACTCACTTCGATATAGATATGTATAACAAGCACTTACACAGACGTAGGCACAGGCACTGGGAACGCATAATTATGCAGGCATTTGCATGTGTATTTGTTGTTGTATTTGCAGCCCCGCCCAAACTGTCACATTGCATTTCGGCCATGTGGCTGAAATTAAATTTGGTCACATTTAATTATTGTTTATGCAAAGGCATCTTGAAAATTGCCATATTGCCATAGAAATGCGCTGCCTAATAAACGGCCCAGACGAAATCTGATAGGCGATAAGAGATAGAGATTGATGCGAGAGTTAAGATTGATGGATTGGAATCATTTGTCCAAGGTTGTGTCTGAACGGCAGTATCACAATCAGATTAAAAACAATTGATTACTGAATGACTAAAGTATATATGTATATTTATAAAATTTATTTTACTTTTTCCAGATGTAGCCATTGCCAAGCTTCTCAAAATTAGATTGATGTCAATTGATTCCGTTTCTAATACCAATCTTAGTCAAATCTCTTAAGCTATATCCCAAAAGGGTTATTTAAGGATTTAACCACAATGCCTCTACCTTTTCCCCTCCCCTGCTCCGTCTCGCATCGTTTCCACATCAATCGCAACCAATTTAATTTCACAATTAAATGCAAAGACGCGATGCGTTTAGCATAAATTAACAGCATGTAAGTAGGCGCCGCAGGGTGCCAAACATTGGTCAAGGGAGGGGGGCGGAGTCTTGGGTGTGGCTCTCTGGTTTCAGGTGTTGCCGCCAAATAAGCCGCCGGGCAGTGCTTCCGTTCCGTGATGCCCACCCACAGCCACGCCCACACCCACAGCCACAGTCACAGCCACAGCTCTGCTCTCGGTGTGGGCAGCAATTTTCCATTAGTGTATTTATTGCAGAATCTAATTTAATTGACGTCATCGTCTAATGCATTTAAGTAAAAGGAATTAAATGCCTTTAATTGTACGCTTTAATTAAATTAGCCAAGATATTTGCCAAAACGCAGTCTTAAAAGATCTTATGCTTACGTGCGAAAATCCATTTAACATCCATCAAGAAGCAGCTGTAACAACAGATGAAATTGATGGAAATAAATTTCGGTTTCGACTTCGTCTGTGAACAGACAGTGAGAAACATATGTTGTGCGTGCTTACTTTGTTTTTATATCAGTAATCAATATGAGATGTTGCTATATTATATTAGCTGAAAAGAGTTAAGCCTCTAAATTCTTTAAAAATGTATGTAAACCAAATTTATATATGAGCAAAAACAAACAACAAAGATATATTTAAAAATTTATTTTTCGTAAATATTTTGCTTACAAATGTAATTTTTACAACTTACAAGATAATATAAAACTGGTTCATGAGCTGGTGACGTAGCTGTTGCTTAACAGCCAACTACAGTTTAGCAAGCAGTGCAGCTGAAACTGCGCGTTTTTCTAGCGTTTTTTACTTAACCACTGCGATTTATTCAAGTTCAAATTAGAAAAAAGTTATTTGATAATTATTATATTTGTAATATTTAAAAATACTACTAATAAAATATTACAAACTGAAGGAATAATTTAAATATTAAAAAAATATGTATTTTTTTAAAAGCGATACAAAAATGTATATTTAAAAATATTATAAAATAAAATATATTTAATATTAATAAAATAAATTTATAAATAAATAAATAAATAAAATATAAAAAAAATATATTTTGTTAAATGACAACTAAGAAGAAAGAAATAAATAGTAAAAAAAAATATTTGATGAAATTTAGTGTAGTAATAATATAAGCAAACTAAATATAATAATATTAGCTCTATGAACTGCTCTCCCTTTTAATAGCATTTTGCAAAATTTATAAATAAAATTATTAATAAATTTTTTAGCATATAAAAAAAGAGGCCTAGTTATGGCAAGCTACAAAATATTTTTCTTTATTTATTTATTTATTTTTTTTTTTTTTGCTCATCCGTTTTAATTTATTTACCTTGAGTTTAGCCGTAACAACAAATTTCAACTACAAATTATGAACAAGTTAGTCAAAAATATATTACTAGATATAAAATATAATAGAATTAAAGAAAACCACGTACATATGTATGTATAAGAACATATATACATATGTGCTCAAATGCGCGCACTTCTTAAACAACTTAGCTTAGCTGACTAATAACTATTAAAAAATGATTATAATTAAAAAAAAAATAGACATTATAAAATACATTATGTAATAAATTCTTGTCGTTGTTAAACTGGGAGTTTTAATAGCGGTCCTTAGCTTAGTTATGTTAGCTATGCATTAAAAAACTTTATGCAAAATATGAAAAATTATAAAAATATAAAAATTATCTAGTTATTTAATAAATATTTAAATTTAATACATGTATGCAGCAGTACTTAATATGATCGATATTTATCAGACACAAATTTGCGTCAATCAAAATGACGTGTTAACTGGTTGCTTTTGGCCAAATTTGCTGCTAGAGAGAAAAAGACTACCGGTTAGCTAAACGCAAGACTTAATCAGCTTTATCTGCGGGCATTAAAGAGAAGTAAAGATAATAATTATAAATATTACTTTTTAGCCTCATGCCTCGCTGCACAGACAGCAATGAAGTTTTGGTTTTTTTATACTCATTCACGAAAGTGAATCAGTATATTGGTTTTGTGCAATGTCCGTCTTGCTGTCCGTCCGTCTGTCCGTCCGTCCGTCTGTCCGTCTGTCCGTCTGTCCGTATGAACGCAATCTATTTCGGCGCTATTGAAGCTAGAGACTTGAAATTTGGAACACATACTCGTGTATATCTCCGATTTATAAAGTGTTAAAATTTTCCCGATCCGCCCACTAGGGGCGTGGCAAATCGGAAAATGCATTTTCCGATGTACCAGAAATCATGTTTGTTGAAGAGCTAGAAAGCTGAAATTTGGTATGTAGGTCCGCGTTGACCACCCAAGATCACGAGCTATGGCGGATATATCTACGCCTATTGGGGGCGTGGCAAATCGGATAAAACTGTATCTCCTAAAGTTGTTAGCCTAGAATGCTGAAATTTTGCACGTCAGCTAATGGTATGATTCTATAAAGTCTGGAGATAAATTATAAGTCTACGCCCATTGGGGGCGTGGCAAATCGGACCTGAAGATATAGTGATTTTTTAAATTCTCCTATATTTTGGACACTATTGATGGCAGAGACCTTAAATTTTGTATATATACTCGGACTGATCACCCAAGACCAAAAAGTTTTGTCGGATATATGTCCGCCCACAGGGGGTGTGGCAAACCGCAAAAGTTTATATCTCCTAAAGTATAATAGCTAGAAGCTTCAAATTTGGATAGTTGAGTTACTGGTAGCCTCCTCTATCGATTCCCCGAAAATAATTTTTACGCCTCTTTAGGGGCGTGGCATATCGAAAAATACCCTGTAATTTTCACATTTTTTGAGGGTAAGCATTCAAACTTTGCAGTTAGGGTGCCGTTATCTCTTTCTAAAAACTGACCAAAAATGAGGTGTCTACGCCCAGTTGGGGCGTGGCAAATCGGATAAACCTGTATATTCTACAGTATTAGAGCGAAACTTAACTACTAAATTGTTGATGGGATGTGAATGAGTATTCCGCAGTCGGTAACGCCCGACTGCAACGTTCTTACTTGTTTTTTTTTGTTGTTGTATCTTTTTTTATTTTGGCGTCGACTTTGCCGCTAACCTTCGACGCGAAAATTGTTTTGTACTTATTTTTTTCTGTTAACATTCGGTTTAGCTGGCAGCTCGCAGTGCTTAAAGGTGTTTTTCAGTTTTGTTTCAGTTGTTGTTGCTTCTGTGCTCAGGGCATAGCTGTGTTATGGGAGTACGAGTTTTGAATTGAAGGACGTCGGCGGCATTGGCAATTCGAAGGCGAGTCGAGTGAGCTGGCAAACTGGAGTTTGTTCTGTGGCAACCTCTCACAGTCTCCAGCTAACAGTTAACAGTTGCATTAGAGCCCAGTTGGCTGCAGTTTGCTGCTGCTGCCGTTCTACCGTTGTTACCTTTAATATACCTTTTTCGGTGATTGTTGGCCAGGCCGGGGCCAGAGCAGCAACAAGTCACGTTCCGCTTTAGCCGCCGTCCGGTTATTTCACTTGGATTCTTGGCAATTGCAGCACTTGCCGCTTGTCAGTCACTCACTTACTTTGCCAGGGTCAAACGGGTTTTTACTCACATATTTTTTCCACGATATCAGCTGGGCAGGGAATGGCCCAGGGTTCGGCCCAGGTAATGGCAGCTCAGTGACCTTTTACCTGGCGATAGGCCTAGGACCAGGCCCAGCTCTAGTTGCAGCTGTCGCATATCTTAGAATATTAACCAAATATTGATATGGCCTGTGCGTACGTGACAAAAGACACGCAAGTGTCTTATCCTCTGAGCAAACAATGCCACGGAATGCGCATAATTACCATGGCCATATAAATATCTCTCTAATTTAGGCTAAGTTTGTTTCTTTACATTGAAATTATAATTAAGACACTTAAATGATGGTTATTAAACAAAGAATAGTACGGGCTTCCTTGAGCAAAGTATGTTTAATGAGATCTAACTTCATTTATTTATAAGTTTAGTTAGAGTTCTTCTCAGCAACTTTTAAATAATTAAATTCCTTTTTTAATTAATACAAAGATTATAATTTATTGCTTTATCTAAATAAAACAATAGTAAGTATTTAATATAAAAATAGTTTTAAAATATAATATACTATATTATTATAATAATATTTTTAATAAATGATAATACAAAATATAAATATAAATAAAAAATAAATATAAAATAAAAAATTTCAAAATTTTTTAAAAATAAATCATTTTTTTGAAATATTTATAATTTGACATTAATTAATTTTTAATATATTAAACATAAAAAAGCAAATATTAAGATATAATATTTTTTAAATAACAATTAAATACTTATAATTCACAATAATACGTTCATTGATATCATTTGTGTATATTTCTACTAATTATTATACTTGTATCAAGAGTAAATATTTATATTTTTATATTAATTGCATTTTTTCCAAATATAATTAATATGTATTTATGATTTCTTTTTTATTAAATATATTATAATTACTTTAGTGGAAATTTTGGGTGATCCAAGACTATATTTGTATTTTAAATAAGTTTTGGCTTAAATGGCTTTTTCCCCTATATAATTCGTATTGATATTCAAGGCTTTTAACACTGAATTTACTTGTCTATGTAAATGTGCGCACATTATTTTGCTGACACTTGAACCACTGTGCACTTAAGATGCACTTAAATAATATCAGCCGCGGACATTAGCCCGTGACAGGTAATCGAACTCAAGACAGTGCCAAAAATAATTTGTTGTCGCTCCAAATACATGGTTATGCGATCGAGCCTATATGCATACATATATATTTTTTTGGTGTATATATATACAACTATATGTATTGGGCTTGTTCCAAAATGAAATCGCTTTGTGTATATCTTTTTGTTTTGATGCACAGCCGCTAATTAACCCAACAGTGAGTGCCAAAAGTCAGCAACAGGTGAGCAGCAGGTAAGTTGGCTCACTCTCTTGCTCCATCGCGTGATCACTCGCTCACTCTCCCGCTCTCTCTCTCTGTCTCTCTCTCGCGATGAGCCGTCAGCTGTTTGGCTGGCTGGCTTGAGTCGAGCTGAGCTCAGCGCTTCGGCCGCTGCTTCAGTTCTGCTGTAAGCCGCCTTCAGGTTGCACGCGTCGCTTTGCGTTTTGTCGCGTGTGTTTCGCCGCGGATTTACAGTTACAGTTACAGCTAACAAACTCGTGCCGTGTGCGCTTGAATGCCAAATTTAATAGCCTCTGAGCCACAACAACAACCGTTAACGGCAACTAGCGTTTAATTTAAAAACGTTTTCAAACTGAGAAGAAGCAACAAAAAAAACCGCAAAAGTAACTGAAATAGAAACATATATAAAACGCAAATCGTTTACTTTCGTTTTTCCAACTTTCATTTTTGTTTTGTCGCACTCGCACGAGTTTTCATTGAAAAAAGTGTCACTGTCAGAGGCTGCGCTGTATTACACAAAAGCTGCCATTAGAAGGTGATAACAAATCGGGAGTTCAATACGACAAGTTATTACAAATAATACAAAAACAAAAAAAAAAGAAAAAAAAACTAGAAAAAAAAGCAACAACGACAACAACAAACACAACCATTCGATATGGCGCTCATGGACACCGCTTGGCGCTGCCGCCTGATGATATTTGGAGTCGCATCGCTGCTGCTGGTCGGCGATCTCTTTGGCTACGGCGGTTACAGTGTGCGTGGCGTTAAATCGGATCATCCGGATGAGGTGGGCGTGCAGGGTGGGGGTCCCCCAACCGGACCCGCTCCGGCTGCCAAGTTTCAGCAGAAGAATGCCGAAATCGACATAGGCGAAGGTGAGTGACTTTATGCCATATTCCACCCCACGTATTCCACTCCGTATGCATTTCAGTTTTGTAATTGAATTTGGGTTTCGTTTTTTACGCAAATTTAAGCTTGACTTTTGTTTAACCGTTTTTTCTTCATTTTTTTTTGGCATTAACAACGCAAATTTTTACACACTCGGCACATTGCAACACATCTGTCTGTCTCGCTCGCACTTTTATTTTTATGGGTTGCTTCATGAATCGAGCTCTCTGTGTTGTCTGTATATTTCTTTATTTTTTCATATTTTTTAAGTCGCGCTTTATTTGTTTGTATCAAGGTCAGTTTCGATTCATAAATGGAAGCTTCATGCTTTTCGATTTGTAATGTAAAAAGCTGGCAACACGTGTAAGCAAATAATTGAATTAAAGCTTTGTCAGTTAACCGGAATGGGCTGCCCTCTTATATACAAGGCGCTATAATACAATTTAAAAAATGTTAAATGTTAATTCATTTTCGATAATTGCCAATTAATAATTTTTAAATTGGCCAGCATGAGAATACAAAATATATTTATATGGACACATATAAATAATAATTTTAAAACTTAATTTTTAGCAATTTCCTATTATGATATAATTTTGATAATCAACTAAAACTGATCTCAAAACTATAAATGCTTTAAAATAAAATTTTGTACAGTTTGTAAAATCAGGATATAATTTTTCAGGAAGGAGGCAAAGTATATTTTATATTCTAGCGCAGTTTGAACTGAGTTTTGTTTAGCCTTGTCTTCAATAAGCTGTTCTTACATAAGACTTAGAAACTCTTTCTCGCATTATACACAATTAACTTTAGAATTCTAGGCAGGGCTGTATAGACTACTTAGGTTTTATAACTTGGCTTTGTACCCATGTTGCGTCGCTTTTCAGCTTGAACTGTCTAGACTATTTCATAGACACTTAAATGTTGACATTTAACAGGCCATTTAAGTGTTGGCTGGCCAAAAAAAAAAAAAAAAAAAAAAAAAAAAAAAAATCATTGCCCCGCATTTTAAGCAGCTAATTAAAAAGTTTCCACACGAGTTTTTGGTTTTTTCTATATGTCTCGCATGACATGCTATTTGTTTGCTCATTTTTGTGCGTAGGCATTATCTAAGGAACTTTTTTCTAATGAGACTTTAATATCAATGAAAAAATGTCTAGTTTTCGGCAACATGCAGTTCTAGACTAAATTCACGAGAGACTAGTTTAATAAAAAATATATGAAATGTATTCCTATTTTTAGCTCATATCAGTTGACAATCTTAAATCTAGTTTTAAACAGCATTGATATTTTTATTTATATTTTAACACCGATATCAACTCCAGTTTGATCTAATATACAAGCAGCTCACTCAGTCTATTTGCTTATTTAAATTGATTTATTTTTCTTTCTTATTTCACGGCTTCCCCTGCAGCCCGAGTAACAGATATCGAGGAAGAGCTCGCGGTAGACGGCGTTCCATATTATTTACATATTATTTAACGCTTTGCCGGACATGGTCTACCCATGCCCATGCCGCACAAATGTTTGAAGCTTTCGAAGCATGTTTGTAACCACTTTCCAATGCCCAGCGATTTGCATAATTTTATAGCGTCACGGTAGGCAAGTGACATAAGACTCATAAATGATTTCTGTTTTGTTTTTTTTTCCTCAACATGCGGGTACGATTATGCAATGCTTCGACTCTCGATAACATGAGAGTAAAGCTCAATAAATAAAAATTAATTAAATACAAACGAAAGTCAAAGTGCAGCTTGAGGCAAGTTTTTTTTTTAATGGGAGCTGAAGAATCTATTGAAATTTGAGGTCAAAAAGCTTTAAAGATAATATTTTGAGAGTAGCTCATGTTAATGGGAATGTTATCTGCAGAGCAAGTACACTAGTGCAAAGAGAGTGTTATGGCAGTGGGTTAAGCACTTGTCAAACTTCATGTTAGTATTTAACATTTAACAGCTGGCAAGTGGTAAAATTAATTATATCAATGTGGCAGTTGCTTTTTTTTAATATTCAATACGCTGCCTGTTAAGTGACTGTTAACTGGGGTGAATTATAGTATTGGTCATTATTATGATGGAATTATAACTTTCTTATTGACTGTAGCTTATGTCAATGTCAAATCTAATGTTAATATATAACATTTACAATCTTAGCTTAAGATTGTGTAGAGTGTTATGTTAATAATGCGCATACAGTATGTTAATCGAATGTTAACAAGAGACTTTGACTTTTCAGCGAGGTCATTTCCGGCCATTAATGATATTATCTTCAATCATATGTTAATTTGTTACTTGATTGATGTTATTTTATGTTCCTGTCAAAATCAATATAAAAGTTTAATGGCAAGTGTGTTAAGTGAATGTTAGCTGGATAACAGCTGAGCTCAGCTCTGATCAGCCCTAACCTCTCGTTTCGCCTCATCAACAAAGCACTGGTGCAGTGTGAATTTTTAACAGTTAAATGTTAACTTGACACTTTAGAGCTACAGCTGTAAAATCTAACCGGAATAGCATAGTTCATTAACATGAGATCATCTGCTATCGGCTTTGAGGTATTTCTCTCTCTCTCTCTCTCTCTCTCTCGTCTCGGCTGATTTGATGTTTGTATGCTTGGGTCTCTTTTGGTTTTTGCTTGCGTCGAGGTGAAAGTGGAAAAATGCCAAGCAAATAAACTTCACGTAATAAAATCAACGAACAGCGACAAGTTTTCATTTGCTTCCCAGTCCCCCGTTTGCATGTGCTGGAAATCTGTGTGGGAAACTGCACTGCAACTTTCCTAACCACCATGGGGAATCTCTCACAATATATTTGAATTGCCCCGCATCTAGCTGAGTTTAAGATTCCAATGCCGTATGGTCTAGACACAAGTTCAGAGCAGCGCTGCTCTGATTATGCCAAGTTAACAGGAAGTTAGCGGAACAGAATGCTTGAGCACAAAAACCTTAGAGAACTGGACTGGACTTGCGCTATTTTCATGCAGATTGAACTGATTTAAGCGTGAAGCATTTGAGCCAATTGGAAATGCCGGCCGAAAACCAGTTAGGCTAAGTAATACCCGCTCTATGCTGACAAACTAGTTCTACGGAAATCGAGAGTGCCCTGAAATGAATTCTCGGCTATTGCATAAAATCGGTGCTAATAGCTTGCAAAATGGAATTGTAGCTAACTAGGGTCATTACGTTACAGGTTTCGTTCACTAAATCGTACGACAGTCAATCTAAATTTATTTTCTTTGGCATGCACTGCACGTTGTCTGATAAGTGCAGTGCGTGATGAACATGCAGAACTTGCAGTTATTTATCGAGGCCCAATCAAAGCAGACACACTGAGTACGTGCAGTTAGATACAAAGTGAGCTCATTTCGGATATGGTTTTGATAACACTCTAAAGCCACTCGCCGAAAGAAAGATTCAGCATCGTATAGAATGCATTGCGATAGTCGTCGTTGGGAATCAGGTTTGATTTGAGCACCGCCTCACAAGCAGACTTGGCTAAAATATTCATTGGGCCATAAATTAAAAGCCACAAATTATTAGTCGCCACCCTGCGTGCCTTGCGTCACTTTTCACAGGCTTCGAGCCCAAAAACTCTTTTCCGCATACAAAGTCCAGCTGGCTGGGGGTAGAGCAGCAGCAGCAGCAGCAGGAGGAGGAGGAGGAGGAGGCACAGCCGCAGTTGGATTTCGCTGATTTCTGGTTAATTGCCAATAACTGCCAGTTGGTTTAAGCTTAAATATTTTAATATTTATACAACACCATAATTAATTAATCTAAACATCGACCAAATGACTAAGCAAATACTTGTCTCGGCGTTGAAATTCGTTTAGGAAAAAATCAAAGTTCAACGCACGTTTTGGCCTTGCAGGGGGCGAGTTCTCACTCGCCTGACCGCCTGTCACTGTCTATTGAAAAAAGCAAAAAATCAAAACAAAAACATAATCGCAATATTGAAACTCGATTCAAATATTTAATCAACCGAACCGAAATTAAAAGTGAAAAAGGTTTATTTATAAGTTAAGTTAAAATTGTTGCTTCTAGATGCTGCCAGCACTTGCCATTTACCTTGTTGGCTATTTAAAAGCTAAATATTTGCGTTGATGTTTAATTAAAGCCAAAGTTGCCACAAACAGAAAGTTCAACAATATAAATGCGCATTTATTGTTAAGCATATTTCGTTTATTTGCGAGTCTGAGTATACTCTCCTATATATATTATATATACACTGTGGGACATTGGCATAACGCCGCCTAGACGTTCTCTGTTAATATTCAACATTTTTTTCAACGAATTTTCGTTTATTCTTGCTAAAATTAAAGACAACTGGGTTTTTGATTATTTTATAAAATTAAACAAAAATTTGAATAAAATAAATGCCTAGAAAACATATTTAAATTTAAATTTAAAAAAATTATAAATAAAATATATGTTAAAAAAAAAGAAAAAAAAATTAAATTGGTTATAGCAATAGTTATATTTATATTTTATAAAATACAAAAATTATAAATAATATAAATGCTTCAAAAATAGAAAATAGATTCAATTCGTTATCACAATAATTTAATATTTTGCAATATATTGTTTTTACGTATTTTAGTATTTTTTTGAGCTAACTTTTGAAGCAATGTAAAAGAAACATGTATATTAAAGCAAAAGTTTAAACAAATATTTAAAAAAGTTGATTAAAACAAAAACGAAGTTTAGTCAAATTAAAACAACAATTTTGGCTTCAGGTTAATTTAATATTTTTTAATAATTTTGATTTCTAGTTGTTTTCAAATTTGTTCTATTTATTTCTTATATTAAAGCAGACATTCGAATTTTTGAATTTACTTAGAATATATAAATCATTTTTAATTTGCGTAGCTAAGAAAAATATAATAATGGCCTCTGTCGCTAATCATCTTTTACGCTGGTTTGACGATATAGAAATTTGATATACATGTGCATATAGCTCTCCCTCTCTATCACTCTTCTTCTGGTATATGATATGATAGATTACACATATATGCAGTACATTAATGATCCACAAATATTTATATATATTGACGTATATATTTTATCCAATATGGCTTCTCTACAATACCTTTAGAGTGCATTCATATTCAACTTGGAGCTTTTGAGAAGTTTCTTTTCTTTTGATTCCCAAAATATTTTTGAATTTCGTTGCTTTGGCCTTGACGTGTTTATTTTTGCGCAGTTGAAAGTTTGCTCTTTGTCAGAATACATAGCTAAGAAAACAAAAATACCCAAATTTGAGAAAAAAAAACTTAAAAGTGCAAATGCAAAAATTAGATCAAAATCTTAAAATATTTTTAATTAAACAATTTGAGTAATTTGCAGAGCACGACTTTGATGAGTTTTCGGCTGCAGCTGCACTCAAGCCCGTGGCAGCTGCGGCTATCACTGGAGCCAGCCTGAAGACCAAAACACAGCTGTCGGATACCATCAAGGAGTCGTGTCTGCCCAAGATGCTGTGCGAGCTGGCTGCCAAGCCGGAGTACCAGCTGAGCGAAAAGGAGCGCGAGCTGCTCAGATTGATAAGGTGAGTGTGAGACGTAATAAACTATATGTATAGTAAATAGAGTTCAGCTGTAGCTTGTAGTTTAACCCTTTTAAGTGAGAGCAACTGAGAGTAAAAAAAAAACAACATATAAACACTGTTTTAACTGCCATTGATCTCTGCTCTGTCGGGTCGTTCAACGAACTAAAAGCTCAGCTTACAAAACACAAACTGAAGATGTTTACAGTCGTATTGAGCACTTGGCCTTGTTTGGACAACAGCATCGGCAAGATTTTCCACTATTGGCTCGCATCGATCGGGCCTAACCTACCTCACATAGGCAATGCGACGCGCTGTAACCTCGCACTTGAGTCGAAGGTGAGCTGTTACCGGCTACACACAGAATCGTTTGTGTTCTACTGAGCAGCTGTCTCCACACACACACACACACACACACACCAATACGACCCCGTGTGAAACCCTGAGCTGTATAGAAATATATATGTATATGTGTTTAGACAAATTTTGTAAACGAATCTTCCGCATTTTGCTGTCGTCTCTTGCAGATCGCCGACTATGCCCTGGATGATGAATATGCCGCCGAGCAAATGGTATTTCGCTGCCCATATGGGTGAACTGATGCGTCACTCTAGCGACAATCTGAGCGGTCCCATGGGCTGTGCCAATCTCTGGCCCAACTGCCCCATCAGCTCCAAGAAGCTGATGAAACTGAGCTATAAGGTGCGCGTTTAGTTGATGCCAGCCAATGTGATCATAGATTATTAAATTAAGCACTAGATGTAGTAGGCGTACGCACACACGCACACACACATACAGACGAATATCGCACACACACACACACACCTACACATAAAGATGATGATGATTGTATACTGACGCTGAAGAGACTTACCTATTGTACCATAAATTTTTCGCTCTCCAAGGCCCTCGGCTGGCTGCCAAGCATTGACAAGTGCCTCCACAGTGCTGGAGCCTGTGACGGCATGACTGATGTGACAATTTGTAATTCGTATCGATTAGCTAGCTCTAAGTGCGCTAATTAGTCATTAAGCGTGCCTAGTCTATCTCAATTATATTTTAGTTAACTTAGCCTTAGTTCAATGCGCGTGTAATTGTAAATAAATGCATATTGTTATTTAATATGAATTCCCAAGTGCATTTTGCTTTTGCTATAACTAATGATGCGACCATTTATTCAAAGTATACATTCGCAAAATATATAAATAAATGAATATATATATAGAACTATAATAGAGCTACATTATCTTGAAGCCTAAACGCCCTTCGGCGTGCAAAATGTATTTATAATTGTTATTTCTTAAGTGCTAGGAAATGCTGTATTAGAGTTAATGGCAACTGTAATATGTGAGTTTGGCGTGTCGCACTTCAATCAAGTTTTGCAGTGTGACCAAAGCCCAATCACGATAAGCCAACAGAGTGAGTTAACACTTTCGTTGCTCATTATGGGAGTTGTAACTGAACTGAAAGTGCTTGCAACTGATGATTTCCTCATCTCAGTAATTATAGCGTGTAGACTATAATATCTCAACATGATCAAGCTAGATTTTCCAATCGAATTAACTAGTGTTCAATGTCTGAGAATGGAGTATGAGTAGTGGTATTTGGAGGCTATAGCTGACTGAGCTGATGAAATGTTGGCATGTTGGCTATAAAAGTCTAGTTAAATAATAAGTCTAATTAAAAATAATACAGTAGAATCCGGTTATAACGACGCTCAAGGGATCGTCATTATACCTTGAAAACCACATAAGTTTACTCAGGAAATTTTTTTCTAGGAATCAGAGTTTTTGACTCAATAACCGTAGGGACGCTATAAGTGGAGTCGTTATAACTGGATTCTACTGCAATTCTTTTATATAGGTATAATTCTTTTATAATTTATTGAATGTCTAAGGCTGTGTAACGAGTTTAATTGCATTTCTGTAACTCTGGGCATCGCTAGATACCTCAGAAACCATTCTCATTCAATCCATCTCCTGCAAATTTTGAGTTTTGTTGTTAGAAGTCTGCGTCGATGCTTACAGAACTCCAGCTCTGATAGTTTCCACTGAAGCACTTCGATTGTCCCTCCACTCAGATATGGGAGTCATCTGAATCTCCAACTCATATGCAAATTGCAATGCAATTCATTGCATACTTTTGGGCAGAGCGCAATAATTGAGTCACATTGAAGACGAATTCGCTTAAAATGCAAATCGTTTGTTGACATTGCACAGTTTCAACGAAACGGCATTAAAAAGTGGCAACAATATTTGGGTTCGCTGATTGCCTCATTGAGCATGCTCGAGGCGTAAAACTGACCACACACATACGCCTAAATACGCCGTAAAATAATCAAAGAATCTGAGCGAAATGGCCGAATTATGACGCACATATTAAATGGCTAATTAAGTGTTAAACAATAATTTGAGCTGAGAAAGTAAACAAGTCAATTCGCTGGCCAATTCTAGCGAAATTATTATTATTATTCATTCTTGCAGCTCTGCAATGGACTTGTGGGACTTGTGTGGCATAATCGATATTATCATGGCGGCCCGAACACGTTGCGTTTGGCAAGAGCCGCGATTTAGGCCACGTCTGCTTGCCAAAGACCAAAACTAAAAACACGTTAAAAACAATCGCGCGAAATTACGTTTCAGTTTATTTGGTGCCTTCATTGGATGGCTTAACACAAAACAATAAACAATAAAAGTAAACAATTTGTAATATCAATGGAATTGGGTCACTCAGCCGGTTGTTACGCTCGTTGCGTGCCAAAAGTGGACCTCGGCGGACTTTCATTGTTTCGATTTGGGGATGGCGAGCGATGCAGCTCTCGCTATATTTGGTCTGACGTTTGACAAGTTGTTTGTTGTTGCCGTTGTTGTTGTTGTTGTTGTTGTTGTTGTTGTTGTGCAATGTGTGACGAGTGCCGCCAGCAAGTGCAGCTCATGAGACTCTCAACAGCCAGTCGAACTTCTATCAGTCTGTTGCATTGCCTAATATTTCCGCATTGCATTGCCCAAACGCAAAGGAAAGGCAGACACTCTCCCAATCCCCCTCTCACTCTCCCACTCTCTCGCCCTCTCACTCTCGCCAGCCCAGTTCCCACTTGAAATCCGGACCTGCGAGCGCGCAACCAAAACGGCAAGTGTCAGGCAACTGGAAAAACATGAAAATTACGCGGCTCAACAAAGGAAGCAGAGCAACAACAACAAGCAACAACAACGTGCAGATGCAACAATTGGCGTGGTTGCACCACCAATACCCTGCGAATAATTTTATGTATATTTTAAAAAGCGTAAAGTTATTGAAGTATGACTGGATATATTAATTTGTTAGTTAATATTAAATTATAATTTATTATTATTATTATTTTTTTATAACTACTTTGATTGCCGCAGGAGTATTTCCATTTATATATGTTATTATTAGCAATTATAAAATTATTGTTAATTATTCTTATACTGGTTGCATATCTGTTATACACATTGTGTTATACTATATGTATGCGTAGAGGGAATTGTATGGAGAGGAAGGCATAAATAGCTGGGCTGTTCATACCTACCTTTATCCTACCTTTATATCTCCATTTTTCCCTCTGTCTTTCTCGCACTATCTCTCCGTGCTGTTTTCCTTCTATCTCTTTGTCGCTCTATGTTTCACACTCTCTCTCTCTTTTCGTAGTTGGTTCCTATCTCTGTCTCTTTCATTTCTTCTCTGCTACTCTCCCTTTTTTGGTATTTCATTCTCTCTGTTTTCATTCGTTTTCTTACGCTCTCACAGCCTTACCTTGTTTTTTCTCTCTCTCTCTCTCTCTCTCTCTCTCTCGCTCTCTGTCCCTTTCAGACTCACTCTCTCCCTCTTAGAATCACTCTCTCGCTCTACTATCATTCTGATTTCTAACACTGCTCATAGATGAATCTTAGGGAATACAAAGAATCTGCCTCAATAAAATTCGTCTGCTTTTTTGGCTGGTCTTATTAGAATATCATTATCACTATATTATCACTTTGCTGTCTCCATAATGCTCAACCATACCATACCCTTTTCATATTTTTGCTTGGGTATCAACGTACACACCCAAGTTGCTGCAAATGTAAGCCAAGTTAGCAGTGGGAGCTGCCAAGTTGCAGCACTCCGCCGTTGCAGCTTAATCCGCAAGTGTTAACAGGCGCCGTCTTGCGTAACCAAGCAATCGACTGATTGACTGACTGGCCAAGAGCCACAGTGGCAGCATTGTCGGTCAAGTTTCAGCTTGAGCCTGAGTGAACGAGCGATCGACTGATTATGTCAGTTCTAGTCAGCAATTAGCCGTTATTAGACTCAATTGTGTGGCTAACGGCAAGCACAGCTAGAGCAACTGGCCAAGTGGCCAACTGACTCGTTCTCGATATAGATAAATAGCCATGATCAGTTCTCCTAGACATTTACTCAATGCGCATGGAATTGAAAGTCAAGCTGCACATCTATATCAATCTGAACTGAATTGGCCTGGCCAAAATGCGTGGACAGCGCAACGTGCTCCATGGAGCGCAGCTCACGCATTTGACAAATGATTGGCCAAACGATTGCCCAAAGTTGAGTTATTAAACTGAGCCGCAAATTGTGTTAATTGGACAAATCAACAACAGCAAAATTTGAGTGTGGAAATGCGAGCTGATGATGCTCATGATCGCAGCACTAACTACGGCTAAGGCGTGGCCGTTGACTGAGTTTGCTGTAAGCCAAGTTGGGAAGATGCGTCTTAACGAGCTGTTAATAATTTGTTAAAGAGGGAATGTAAAATACTATTCACAGTTATTATATGATACCAATTGCATGATTATGATGATGATTATGATATGATTAATTATGCTGATTTGCTTGCTTCTTGAGCTTAACTCAAGTCCTAAGGCTGAGTTATATATACGGATATTATTAATTATAATATAATGATATAAATACATAAATAGCTAAATATAGATTAGATTAGATAGCTAGATTATTAGATTATTGCTCTCATCAGCCTATACTAAACTTTTGGCTTGTCTAAGTCGGATGTTACATATATTTATTTATATGCTGGCATATACTAAATAAAAACAATTATTTTTCTTAATTATTAAAGAAGACCGTAAAGGTTATCTCGTATATACTGCATATGAATATATAATTTCCCTGTGAGAAGTTTATCACTCGAGTCCCAATGCTCATCTCTGAGTTAGAGTATACATATTCATATACATATATACTAACATATGCTAAAAACTACTTCATATATCAGTTTAAGTATTATTTTGCTTAACACTTAGCCCCGTGCAAATTGCTAAACTGCTTAACAGCTGCTGACTTGGGGTCTTGGGCTCGAGCCTTAACCTAAGACACAGAGCGGAATGGAGCGAATGTGGCTAAAGTGACGCAGATTAAGTAATTGATATGCAAAACCTAACTGTAACGCATACCAGACGCGAGGCACGCCAGCCAGCCAGGCGGGGCAGACACGCCAAGGCACAGCGCCTAAGTCAAGAGGAAATTACAGGTGCGAAAGTAACGGCCACTAAAATGGAGAATTTCATAACTTTTCATAATTGCAAACAGAGAGGAAAAGCGAGAGAGTGAGAGGTAGAGTAGAGTGAAAGAGCGAGAGTGAGTTAGTGAGAGAGAGAGAGACAGAGGCAACAGCTGAGCTGCAACTGGTTTGGTTGCTTTTAAAACTATTGCACACACACACACACACACATATATCACACACTCACTCACACACACACTCTTAGAGCTGGGTAGGCTCGGCTGCGCCCTCTACTTGACCATATTGCCTCACTTTCACTTGTCTTTGGCTTCTTTTGCTTCCGCACGAAACTTGGTCAAAATGCAAAGCAAACTTGGCCACCAACTTGGCTCGAAGAGCGTCGCTTGCTGTCGTTGTTGTTGCTGTTGTTGTTTTTTAGCTTTACACTTTATTTTTGTCATCCTCTCTCTCTTCGAGTTGTAGTTTTGTGTTTTGTGTTTTGTTTGCTGCGCTTTGGCGGCCCGCTGCGGCATTAACTTGGCTCAGTCACTCGAAGACTTTAAACGCACCAAGTTGCCTCGTCGTCTGGCCTCCGCCATCCAGCATGAATCTGCGCTACATTTGCACCTTGTCGCTGCTGCCCACGCTCTATGTG